CGTTAAGTGTAAAAATTCAGCTTTTGAGTGAATGCCATTTAATGATGGTAAAATGTCCCCCTCACCCAGCCTCTGGCAATATTTGTTTTGGCTTATTTCACTCAGCATAATGTCATCAAGGCTCATCATGTTGTAAAAAGTGACAAGATTTCCTTATTTTTTTACAGCTGAATTATATCCTATTGTATGATATATCACATTTTCTTTACCTATTCATTTGTCAATGGTTATTTGGGCTTTTCCCAGCTTTTGCCATTGTGAATACTGCTGCAACATCTAAAATCTTGCTTTCAATTCTCTTGGTTATATACTCAGAAATAGGATTACTAATTTTATGGTGATTCTATTTTTTTTTTTTTTGAAGAACCTCTAAACTGGTTTCCAAGTTTTATTCCCAATAGTAGTGCACAAGGGTTCCAATTTCTGCACATCTTGGTCAACAGCTGTTATTTTGGTTTGCTTGTTGTTGTTTTTAAACATGTTTTTATTGATTTTTAGAGAGAGAGGAAGGGAGAGGGATAGAGAGAGAAAAACATCAATGAGAGAGGAACATCATCAATCGACTGTCTCCTGCACCTCCCCTACTAGGAATCAAGCCCAGTTTGATCTGCCTGGGGATCAAACTAGTGACCTCTTAGTTCCTTGGTAGACACTCAACCACTGAGCCACACCAGCAGGGCTCTGTTTGTTTGTTTTTTAATAGTGACCACCCTAATTGGTGTAAGTTGATATTTGTGGTGTTAATTAGTATTTCTCTAATGATTAAAAATGTTGAGCACTTTCATAAGCTCGTTGACCATTTGTGTATCTTTTTTGGGCAAATGTTTATTAAAGTCATTTGCCATTATTTAGGTAGGTTTTTTTGGTTTTGAGTTGTAGGAATTCTTCATATGTTCTAAATATTGATTTCTTTTCAGATATATGTTTTGCAATTATTTTATCCCATTTTGTATGTTGCCTTTTGTCTATTTTAGTGTTTCATTTCCTGTGCAGAAATTTTCAAGTTTTATTAAATACCATCTATTTTTGCTTTTGTTGCCTGTGTTTTTAAGTGTCTAAGAAATCATTGCCAAATTCAATGTCATGAAGCTTTTACATGAAATTTACTGGAATACAGTATTCTTGGTTGGCAGTGTTTTTTTTTTGTTTTTCTTTTAGCATTTTGTTGTTGTTAATACTCACCCAAGAACACTTTTCTATTGATTTTTTAGGAAGAATGTTAGAGAGAGGGAAAGACAGAGAGAAACATCAATGTGAGAGAAACACATCCATTAGTTGCCTCCTGAAAGTGCCCTGACCAGGGCTGGGGTTGGGGAGGAGCCTGCAACTTAGATATGTGCCCTTGACCAGAATTGAACCCAGGACCATTTGGTCCACAGGCCAACACGCTCTATCCACTGAGCCAAACAGGCTAGGGCTCTTTAAGCATTTTGAATCTTCCAGTACATTCTAGCCTACAAGTTTTCTGCTGAGAAATGCAATTAATATCTTACAGGAACTCTTGCTTTTTTTCTGGCTGCACCAGTCTGCATTCCCACCAGCATTCATTTGTAGCTTGTTGATGGTAGCCATTATGGCAGGTGTGAAGGGATATCTCATTGTTTTAATTTGCATCTCTCCAATTAGTGACTTTGAGCATTTTTTTCATATCTCTTGGCCATATGTATGTTTCCTTCAGAGAAGTGCCTATTTAGGTCTTTGACCCATTTTTTTTTAATTGGGTTGCTTGTCTTCCTTTTGTTAGGTTGTATGAGTTTTTAAAAATATTTTGGAAATTAACCCCTTATCAGATGTTTCACTGGCAAAATGTTCTCCCATATAATGGGATCCCCTTTCCATTTTGTTGATGGTTTCTTTTGCTGTGCAGCAACTTTTTATTTTGATGTAGTCCCATTTGTTCATTTTTTCTTTTGTTTTCCTTGCCCTAAGAGAGGTATTGGCAAATGTATTGCTACAAGAGATGTCAGAGATTTTGCTTCCTATAGGTTCTTCTAGAATTTTTACGGTTTCATAACTTACACTTAAGTCTTTTATCTATTTTGAGTTTATTCTTATGTATGGTGTAAGTTGGTGGTCTAGTTTCATTTTATTTTTTTGCATGTATCTGTCTAATATCCCTAACATCATTTACTGACAAGATTGTCTTTACTCTTCCTGACATTTTTAGATGTCTGTGTTCTCTTTCAGCTCACTGAGCATTTTAAAGATGTTAGTTTGAAGTATTTGGTGAATAATTCATACATTTCCATTTGTTTAGGAATGGCTTCTGGAGTTTTTGTTGTTCCTTTGATATGCCTTTTTATCATTTGGTGAAATCTGCATATTTGAAAACAGTCTTTATAGACTATCTTCACTATGGAGAGATCTTCACCAATCAGCCCAGCTAGAGATTCTAGGGACCTCTCAAACCTTTCTGGGATATGTCTTCTCTGGGCTTGGGTTTGTTATCTCCAGGTGAAGAGTTTTGCCTTTTCCTACTCTGGAGCATCCCGAGGGGTCTATCTGCAGTATTGTAATACCTCTAGAGCTGTAGCAATCCATACGACGCAGGCATCTAAAGTTTGCCAGCCTCTCTCTCTCTCTTTTTTTTTTTTGGTAATCCTCACCCATTGATTTTTAGAGGCAGTGGAAGGGAAAAAGGGAGGGAGGGAGGAGGAAGAGAGAAAGAAACATTGATGTGAGAGAGACACATTGATTGGTTGCCTCCTACATGTGCCCCACCTGAGGCCGGTTATCAAAACTGCAACCCAGCTATGTGCCCTTGACTGGGAAGCAAACCCAACGCTTTAACCACTGAGCCACATTGAAAGGGCTAAAGTTTGCCAGTCTCTTTTCTGTCAGCAATCTGGGTAAGGAGAGACAGTCCCTTGGGCAGCTCCTCAACAAGCCAGAATGTAGGCCCTGGCTGTGTGGCTCCATGGGTTGAGTGTCCTCTCATGTACCGAGGTCACTGGTTCGACTGCCAGTCAGGGCACATGCCTGGGTTGCCGGCTTTAGTAGGGGGTGTGCAGAAGGCAGCTGATCAATGTTTCTCCCTCATTGATGTTTCTTTCTCTCTCTCCCTTCTTCTCTCAAATCAATAAAAAATATTTAAAAAGCCAGAATGAAGGACACATGTTCCATGTCTCTCTTTCCTTCCTGAAAGAGAAGTCACAAATTAGGAGCTTTCCTGTTGTTCAGGTAGAAGAATAAACCTGTTGCACCTTGTTGTTCAGGGAGAAGGATGAACCTTGTTGCACCTTGTTGTTCAGGCAGAGGATGAGGTATGTTGGGTAAATACAATGGAATGCCCTAATTGCTCCAATGTGCCTCTACTTGGCCTTGTGCTTGACTGGGATGCTGTAATCTCTTAAGTGGCTTCTGAAATTCTGACAAAGGTAATATGGTCCTTATATTGCTAAGTGAGTATCTCCATTGTGGAAGAAGAGCCCGAGGCTACAGATTCTGCCATCTTTCTGACATTACTCCTATGATTGCAGGGATTTTCAAAAGCTCCTCAGGTGATTTTAAGATATAACAAATTTGGGAACCACTGACATTTCCCACATTCCTATCTGGCTTCCTTCACTCAGAGGTTTCTAGTGCGGGATCCTTTAATAAATCACTTGCCTAAAAATCTTAATTTCAGCCTGAGCTTCTTAAGATACCTTGCTTTTGAGCATGATTGCACTATTCCCTCCAAAAGGCAATAGCAAACAGATAAAGCAATCACATGCTAATAGGAAGTTTCAAATACAAAAAGAAGCATCTATTAAAGTATCACCAAATATTTGGGGAAAGCCAACACTTTGAATTGAGGCACCATCTTTATTAAATAGAAAAACTTTATATGAGGAAATATATATATATATATGTATATATATACACACACACACACCTATATATATATATACATATATATATACAGATATCAATAAGAACATGATTTCATAACTATAAATATCCTCAGAATCATAGAGGTATACTGCATGTATCCATAACATTATAACTATAGTTCTTAAAAATTAATGACTACTAAAATAGAATAAAAATAGGTGATCTGAACATAGCTGAAGAGTAAGTTAATAAGCTAGAGAACTTAGCAGAGAAAACTTCCCAGTGTGTACTGCAAAAAAGCAGGCAGATGAAAAGTATAAAGGAAATCTAACTAGTTTTAGAGAGAGCTAAGAAGATAGAAAAGATAACTGAGAAGAGACATAAAATACATCTAAGATATGGGGAAAAATAGATACACAACCCTCTGAAATATCCCACCAAATATTGAGTAGAACAAATTTCAGAAAGACCCACCCAAGGATATTAAGATATTGTTGTTAATTTAGTTTAAAAATGCTCTTACCTTTTAGAAATGCATATTGCAGATTATAGGATTGAAATATCATCATGTATGTAATTTACTTTAAGATTCATTAGGGGAAAATGTCAACAAGCAATTTTCCTGAGATAAATCCAGTGGACACCATTGTCCCTGGATATTCATCACTCATTCCAAGAGTTACCCTAAAGTACTCTCAATGCCATGTACAAATTGCACTAGCAAGCACTCATAGCTCAGTTAAGTTTACTCCTATTGCTTCTTACCTTACCTTACCTTAGACCTTGAACCTGTCGGCCTGTTCAAAACTTGCCTCTATTACAGATGGAGTGATGCTGCATATTCACTGTTGAAAACAAAGTTGGTTGCTCCAGAACATCTTCCGCAGCAAGGGAGGATTCCCTTACCTCGTGATATTGGACTCAAAGTCTTTAAAGCTCAATTCGTGATAGAGGCATATTGCCTGGACGTGATTGGGCCAGGCCCACTGTTATCTTATATAGAATGGCAACTTACAGGACAGATCAAGTCCTTAAATCTCCTCTGCTTGGAACAGAGGTCAGCTTGGCACTTAAGGACAGCACACTTAGATCTCATCAAAAGGTGACTCATCTTATCCCAGACCGATCTCTGTTGACGAACTCATGTGATTAAAGTTTTTCTTGATGTATTTCTCTGTTCCCAGATCTCCCCACCGAGACTTATCACCAGCATCTAGCATGATTTGGACAGCTTGTAATGGGGCGACCCACGGAGATGACCACCAGGGACTCAGATCAAGATTTAGGAGCCTTTATTAAGCTGGCCAGCAACTACAGTTACAACACCCTGCCGAAGCAAAGGCTGAACTGCAGTGCCGACTACAGGAGTTACAGCGTTTTTATTTGCAAAAACCACAAGGTTAGTTACGAAGCCTTGTTTACACAATTTGTTCCCAACACAGTACAGCATCAGTGCAGTGACTACCTTCCTATCTATGTGTTCTAGAACAGAGAGCACAGCATGCCCTGCCTGGCTGAAGCGCCAGATATGCAGCCCAGCACAAGCTGTGGCGTCGACCTGGAAGGCCTTGAGGGACTTAATTCAGAAAGTCAACCTATCAATACCTTCCATGCTGCATGACAAAGTCTTACTTGAGACTTTAGAAAAACATTTAGTTTTTCAAGAGGCAATTATGCAGGTATCATTCTCCAGGCATGAGATGGCGACCATTCAGGTGGGGAACATAACATGCCACTTTTTCAGGTCTCTTGTGCTTGCTGTGCATGGCATCCATTCTAGCTTGATGACATATAATCATTTTCTTTCGCTCGCTGATACTTATAGATCTTGTGTCCACTTGCTTATTGCCTGCTTGGTTGAAGATACCCTCCAAAAGTGGCCTGTGTGCATGACTGAAAAGGCCAAAGTTTTCCTTGCTTGCATGGATAGTGCTGCGGGATGCTTGCCACATGACATGTATTTTGATGCCATTAAGTCTGTATATCCTTATGCTATAAGCAAAGTACTACAATATCACAACAAAACCATAATCTCATCATTGCATACTGTCATGCATCCTGCTGTTGCTAATCTCTCAACAGAATTGTTAGACATATCAGATCTTGCATTATCTTACCCGCAAATGGTCCTAGAATTATTTTCCGTTTCTAAATGCTTCTTCTTTCCAGAGATCAGAATGGAAGGAGGAAGTAAGCAACAGTTCCATAGAATGCGACAAGAGGTCACGGACATGTCAAGATTGGAGACAGTGGGGTTGGAAGTGCTATATGTATTTAGGGCTGAATACATTAGAGGTAAAATAAAGAACTCAGCGTGGCCACCTGTAACGTTTACCACAAATTGCAGCACAGTAATCCGGCAAGCATACCTCCCTGGAGTCTGGGTCAAAACAGGTCAATGGAAGTATTCAGACTTTTCCGAGGTCCAACTCGAATTCAGGGGGAACAGACTTGAATTTGAGCCTGACCTCAGTGATATCATAACTGACAAGGCTATCATAGAAAACAGGAACAAATGGACGTTCGAATATAACTGAGGCACATTACAGGAAATATCATCAAAGGCTCCGGCACATCAACAGCGAGCAGGGATTACAGAGATTAATTCTTGCACTGCTTAGTGGTGATCTCGATAATACTGAAGAGAAGGTTCAACCTTTTGTGACAGGAAACCTCAATACAGATGACTTGATAACAGTCCTGGTGCCCGGACCCATACTACCTAATTATGGACATCAAGGGCACCGGAGCCCAGGAGATCTATCTCCCACCTAGAAGTCACACGCTCAATGCAGCCACTATCGCCGCGAGAAAACCAAGCTCTGTTACAGTGTCCACCATAGGTGGCGGTATTGCCGTTGGAACCAATTTCCTGCTCATCTATACAACATTGATGGGAAACCGTTTGACCGCTAAATTCATGATAATCGTGGTGTGGTTGAAGGGGCAAGTGCACCGCAACCATGGGGACCCTTGACGGACCTTAGTCCATCACCAGAGCAGGTTAACTTAGTGATAAAGTGCACTTTGGCCATATTATTCCACATGATCTGTAAACCTCAAGAAAGCTCAGGGACCCAGATAAGCCGCAGGTTCAGTGTTCTTTATGCTACACTGAGACCTGGTGTTCAGCCACCTCCTGTTGAGATTGACCCAACGCTAGATCCAAAAGCAACCGCTGTATGGCTTACAGAAAAGGAACTTGATGTACCAATACTTGGTGCTCTCCTAAACACAGGCATTTTGTCCTTGAGTCCGACTGCCAAGGCATTCATCTCTCAAATTAAGCTTATTTCTGGCTTCGCTGAGATGACGTCTTACCTCACCATCAAATAATTTCTTCATGAGGGGTTTACTCATGCATCAATGCTTCCAGGTGTAGGGGCTGAATTACCAGCCTTCTTGAAAGCTGAGAAGGAACTTCGTGACCAACATGGAGATGATAAGTTTCCATACCTAAAATGTCTTCGCCTTCCGAACTACGAGAAGATGGCTCCTGTTAATTACCCTAACTTGTGCAAAGTGGCGAGAGAAGTGTTGATGGGACATTTAGAGATTACAGAACAACAAAGGAGTCCATGTCTCAGTTAACTGACCAAGAGATAGAAGCTGCTCTAGCACAACCACCCGTGAAGAAGAAGGTGATGCACAAGGAAGACGCCGAAGGGTTGAAAGCAGCATTTGGTATTACTGACGAGGATATCATGAGTGCCACGGGAGGCCCTGCACCACCTCCTCAAGCAGGCTCCAAGGACTTGGTGAAGCTCCTTACTGAGGCACTTCGTAAGGCTGAGAGGAGAGCAGCACAGCGTGATGAGTAATCATAAGCCGTCTGTAGTTGTGAGCAAGAATTGCACCACTATAGGAATAAAACCAATAAAAAACAACAAACAAAACAGTCCTGGTGCCCAAGGAGAAAGAGCTCGAAGTTAAAGGCAGGTACTTCTCTAAGCAATCCTGTAGCATCAGACTTTATCAGGTTTTGGCTGAATTAAACCTCAAGAAGTACATCATGCCGTTACTACATATGCACTCCATGACAACATCTGCAACTCAACTATCACATATCTTCGACAAGATATCCACTCAAATTACTAGAAGAGAGGTGTTCGTAATCAACTTAGATTTTGAATCATGGTGCAACGCCTTTAGGCCTGAGTTGCAACAGCCTTTCTGTGAAGAGTTGGATAGGATGTTCCTCTCAGGATGTTTCTATCAGGTTGGATCCTGGCTGCCCGCGCTGACAACCTTCATCATGCAGGATAGATTCAACCCTCCTGCTCAAGATCAGGATGGTTTTCCAATCGAGGATGGAGAGGCCTGCCTTCAAGGTTCATTGACAATGGGCGAGGGCATGCACCAGAAGCTCTGAACAATAATAACAGCTTGCTTGGAGCTCTTGTCTCTGGAAGAGCTTGGGCTAAAGGGTGACATCCTAGGCCAAGGAGACAACCAAACTATCATTGTCTCAGTTCCACCATATGCAATCAAGGATGAAGCAAAGGACCTCCTGTTGAGCAAACTGATATTCAAGGCACATGAGGCTAGATTGACACTAAACCTGATGAGTGTTGGGTGAGTGATGTCATTTAGGAGTATGGGAAACGCCTCTACTTCAATGGAGTTCCTGTACCAAACTTTCTAAAAATATTCTCTAGACTGACTGACAGCACTGGGGAGATTTACTCTAACATTTACTCAAGGCTTACTTGCCTTAGTTCTAGTTGCCTTTCCGAATCACAAATGGATTATACACGTTGGCCATCCGTCATAGCTGGAATTTTGGTTTACGTAATGGAAATATTTGTTTTGTTTCCAAGTCAAATTTGCTCTGATCCCCATATAGTATCTGCTCTTGCAGTAGTTGGACCTGTCCTGGGAGGTTTGTCATCTCTAGCAACATTACCATCAGTTATGTTTAGAGGGCTTGCTGACCCGCTAACATTTCAGACCGCTATAACTACAGGAATTGCACCTCTGTGCATCCATCAAGTCACAAAACTCACTGTGCCTGCTCAACCAAGTGCACTGGCTCTTTGCTCAGATCCAACTTGTTTGAACATAGTTCCGATACGAAGACCTGAGGGTATTTTGAAGATTTGGATAGAAGAATCACTATCAGAAATGACTGGATCATCACGCATTCTAAACCTAATGAAGACGGACATCTCCTCCAGAGAAGTTCTTGCAATTGATTTATTCCAGATGGAGCCAAAATATCCAAGACTCATGAGCTATTTATTTACCAAAAGTAATGTTGCCTATGGATTGTCTATGCTTGACAAATTCCAAAAGTCTAGCACCATTGTTAGCCTAAGTCAAAGCATGTCTATGCGGTGCATAACAGAAGAGAGCAGACGATTCAAGGAGAAGCTTGTGCAGAGTATCTTAATGACTAACAAACAAGGATTAAACATTCTGGACTACCTGACCCCATGTACTATGGATGGTGCAAGCCGGTTAAGAGCAGCAACCTGGGGTTGCCATTTACACGGAGTTACTATGCCCTTTATTGCAGAGCAGTTTAAACTGAGGTTAGCCATGTCAGATGAAGAGATTTCTCTATCTATTATATTTCGACCTGATACTACACTTCCACCACGAGGATGGATGAACAGAGGGAAGCGACCCCTTTATATTGGGCCGTGCACCTTCGTCAAAATCAACAGGGGAGCAATTACCGGCCTGCTTGAAGGAAAGATCGGAAAGATGGCTGAGGACCTCATTTCAACCTGTGACTGCATCAGATTAAGAGGGAAAGTTGGTGAGCATTTAGCAGAGTTGTTAACCATACTTCTGGATGAGAAAGGGGTCACAGTGCCTGAGCTTCCGGTGGTCATTGGAGGTACCTTGACCCATCGGTTACCAACCGTATCAGATGATCGAGCTGGCCTAGCAGGAAGCTTGAATGTCATCTCAACCCACATAGGATTTACTACAGACTATATGACAGACTTCGCGAAGTCACAGAAGGACTTCACAATCCACTTTCAAGGAGCATTTATTCATGGCCTTAATCTTTTGTCATCACAACTCCACTATGGTGCTTTACCCTTGCAGACCTACTACTTAACCCTTTCGTGTGATAACTGCACACAAGAAATTCAAGAGGACCATTTCGCTCGTTAGGACACCAGCATATTGTGGCATTGCCATGGACCATGTTGTCACACAAACCAGCCTTGGCTTAATCGCCTGGTATGGAGACCCCGCAGTGGCTGCAAGCTTTAAGCTTGGGGTAGAGATGTTTCTATCTTTATATCAAGAATCCTACAACCTCAACACCATCCTGGATTTGGGTCAGTCGCCTAGGCCCCTCGAGAGGTTCTCTCTCAGTCATCTGTCTCCGCTTCCTGGACACTTGATAATTGTGTCTTTTTGGCACACTGGAAATTCACGAAGGAGCATGGCCATATCAGTATCTGGATATCTTAAGCCTGCATCTTATATTCCATCTTTATCACCTACGTTAAGGTGGACATGTGATGTACTGTTTTCTTTGTCGGACGCTAATCAAATATTTGACCTAGCAGGCAAAGCTGGGGTATTGAACAACCTCCTGCCTATTGGTGTATCACTCAGGAGCACACTAGTTGCTAATCTTCTGCTAGCCGGATTAACTTACAAGTCTCCTGGTATCACATACATTATGAGGAGAATGAAGATTGACAAAATTGAGCAAGATGTGGTCATGTACCCTGATGTTGACTCATTAATTGGCAGGTTAAGCCCTTTGTCACACCAAGGAGATGGGCCAGCGAGATGAAAGAAACTATCTCTTATATGCCCGGACATAACTGCCAGATTCATTCAGCTGTTCATGCTATACCTTTGTCACAACACTGGCACTTGTCACAGTTACTTAAAGCGTTTATAGCTATAAACTCTGTGGAGGTAATGGTGGTATCTCCCTGTACTCCCCCGGAGGTAATAGTTGATCTTTGCCATGTGACAGAGATCATAATAAATGCTCAAGGTGATCCAATAATTCTCGAGAAGGCTGAGCTTGCCGACTTGTATGGTGCTGTCTCAGTAAGGTTAATGGTCCAATTGTCGCTTTCTACCTTATGCTCAGCTAAGTACTATTATGACCATTCAGAAACTGTTCCTGGTGCCCTTGTGTATGGGCCTTTGGATAATATATTTGAAGTGCAGGGTCCATGTGGGGGATTTCATACCATGTGCCTCAACAGGGTGGTAAGGCGCTCAACCTTAGTGGGGCATGCTGCAAGCCTTATGACATAGTTATTTTGTGCCCAGCTGTGGGCCCTGTTTCCGAGTCCCTGTTTAGATTAGTTGTGAAAAGTGCATGTGATTGCTTAGATGCTATCCAAGAATTTCCCTTATGGTCTACAGGCTCAAGGAGAGGTGAAACAGAATGGTCACGTGAAATCGGTCACAATGTTGGGCTCGTTGAGCTTGTGAACAATCTTCATCAATTCTTAGAGCTTATCCGCAAAGCAATTAAAGTGCCTTGTAGGCCTGTTTGCCCGTATTATATGAGATAGTATTCCGAACTCGGGTATACTACTTCACTCTTCGCACCAGGTTTAAAAATTGTTGCTACGTTAGTAGCATCCACTATCATACTGGTCTACGATAAACATGTGGATATATCCTGTCTCGCCCGAGTTCTCTGAGCGCCGCTTGCTGTGATTTAAGGAAAAAAAAAAGATTCATTAAGTAATCCTCATCCATTGATTTTTAGAGAGAGTGGAAGGGGAAAAGGGAGGGAAGGAGGGAGAGAAGGAGAAAGAGAAAGAGAAACACTAATGTGAGAGACACATTGGTTGGTTGCCTCCTATATACCTCTCACCTGAGGCCGGGTATCAAATTTAAGTTAAGGTTATTTGGTTGTTCATTGTATTATTCTCCCTATTTGTCTTCATTGATGAAAAATTTCACTAAGGAAAAAGACCTATTTGAGACTGTTCTTTTCAACTTTAATATGCAAACAAATTACATGAGGAGTTTGTTAAAATGAAGATTCTGTTTCAAAAGGTCTGGGTGAAACCCAAGATTCTGCATTTCTAAGAAGCTTTTAGGCGATATTAATGCAGCTAAGGAACATGCTTTGTTTAGCAAGAAGTTAATGGGGGGGGGGGGTTCGGGGGGAGACACACCAAGCTTCCAAACAGGAAAAAAAGAAAGTTATTAACTGGGAAAGAAATTAAAAACCAGCCAGTGTGGTTCAGTCGTTGAGCATTGACCCAAGAACCAGGAGGTCTCAGGGCATATGCCCAGGTTGTGGGCTGGATCCCCAATAGGGGACATGCAGGAGGCAGCTGATGTATGATTCTCTCTCATCATTGGTGTTTCTATCTCTTCCTCATCTTAGCTCTCTCTCTGGAATAAAAAAAATTAATTTGACAAGAGGTTTCTCATGGGTAAAATTAATACAAAGAGATAATGATGATATCTTTAAAATATTGAGGGAAAATAATTTTGAACCTAAAATTCAATACTAAGCCATATAGAAGACATTTTCAAATATTTAAGGAATCATTTTATCATCTATTCAGCAGTTTTAAAAGAACTAGAAGATTAACTCATCAGGAAAAAGATTACAAAAAAAAAAAGAAAGAAAGAACAGAAATAAAAGAGAATAGGCAGTATAGTGCAGACATTAAGAATAACAGTTCAGGCAGAGCCAAAATCTGGATCCATCTATTAGTTGTCTGACCTTAGGAAAATCAAATAACATTTCTTTGTCTTAGTTTGTAAGTTCTACCCCACAATGGGAATAATAATAGTATCTACTTCACAGGGCTACTGGGAGGATTAAAAAGTTAATATCAAACTTCATCTGCCACATAGTAAGCACTGTATAAGTGTTTGCTACTACTATAATTATTGTTACAAGAAACAATAGTGAGCAGTGAAATTTATTGCTAAATCTATAGAAGCAATAAATTCATTGTAAAGAACTTAAAAATAATCTTAGTGAGGGAATATATAAAGAAGTGGGGAAAGTGACAACTTGCTATGAATTAAAGAATGTGTTTTCCAAAATTATAAGTAATCATTAGGAGGAGGAGTTTCTAGTTTCTAATCAGAATATGTTTTTACTGATATGTTTACAGAGAGAGGGAGAGAGTGGGAGAGAGAGAGTAAGAGAAAAACTTCAATGTGAGAGAGAAACATCTATCAGTTGCCTGTGTACTCACCCCAACCAGGGATCAAATCAATAATCTGGGTATGTTCCCTGAACAAGAATCAAACCCTTGAACTTTCAATTACAGGATGATGCTCCAACCACTGAGCACACCAGCCAGGGTGAGTTTCTAATTTCTAAAGATTAAAGGAATAAACAAAAGTAGAACAACAAAAATGCTGTTAATCCAGCAAAAGTGAAAGAAAAGAATGAAATTCCCGTAAACATACAATATTTTAAGTGTTTTTAAAAATTGATTTTAAAAGATATTGAGAGACAGAGAGAGAGAGGGAGAGCGAGAGAAACATCAACTTATATAGTTCCATTTATTTATGCATTCATTAGTTGATCATTGTATGTGCCCTGACCAGGTATCGAACCCACAACCGTAAGATGATGCTCTAACCAACTGACCTACCTGGCCAGGACCAAGAATATATAATATTTAAAATAGTGAAATAAAAAGCAGGATTAAATCCAACTTACTCTATAATAAATTGGTTAGATTGACCTTTTTGAGACAGAGGTTCTCTAATTGATTTTAAAAATTAGCTCTGAGAGATGATAGAAACTGAGGGAGGAAAAATGGTGGCCGAATAAGACCCTCCCTACCCCCCCAGCCCAAAGCCCTGTCAGAAATAAGACACTTGAGTGATTAAGATTGACAGCAGGCAGACAGGCAAAGCCGGAAGATTGGTCCTGCCTGCTTGTAGCCAAGGCTGTGGAGATAGACACAAACAGAGGAGCGGTGGGTCGCTTGGAACTTCAACACAGTGCTGACTACCTAACAGGAAACTGAGAAGTGCCAGACAGAACAGAAGAGTGGGGTCTTAAACCAGCCCCCATGGGGCATTAAAACTCAGCTGAAGCAAACAACACTTCACTTTTTTATTTAGAAAAAAAAGAAAAATATTTTTTTTTGTTTTATCTTTTATTTTTTGTATTAATTTTTCTTCATTTTATTTTTAAATTTTTACTTATTTTATTGTTATTTTATCTTTTCTTTTCCCCCACCCTTTTCTACTTCATCTCTCCCTTTTTCATTTTCTCCTGTTCCCATTTTAGTTTTTCTCTTTTCCTTCCTTTCTTTTTACCGCTTGTTAAAAGTTGATCATCTTTATCTGCTTTATTGACGTGTTATTATTATAGTCTCTGTTGGCTTACTCATATATCTAATTTCCTCTCCCCTGCTCAAATAAACTCACAAAAATTTTTTACAGGTTTGAATGTTTTTACAGGTACATGTTGTAAAACAAAATTTATATGTATGAAGGCCATGAGGTAAATGTTAAAAGTAGTTATCTCTGGGTGATGAGCTTACTGGTGTTGTCATTTTTTAACCTTTTAATCTCTATTTTCTGAATTTCCATTAATAAATATGTATTACTTTTGTATTAAGAAAATTCCCTTGAAAAGTAAATCCATAGAGCATGGAATCTCAGAGAAAAGGCGGGGGAAGTAATCAACTAAGAGCCTTGTATACATATATGTAGGGCACCGCTATAGGGTTAAGCCTCGTACTGATCTGTTGGCAAAGCCACAAACAAGTCCCAGCTTACAGGGCACAGTCCTCTTAGCATAATTAGGCTTGACCTTATGATGCTCCCTAGATCTTATCTGGGTAGCTAATGGCCTGAGGGAGATGCAGCAAGTGCTGCCAAAACAAGTGAAACTCACAAGAACAGTGTAACTATGGTGACCACTACCTTGTTTACCTCTGGCTATAAAATAAAGGCTCAGCTGGCCTCTGTATCTCTCTCTGTGGCCTCAGCCAGGCACAGGACGATCCACCTAGACCAGTGATGGCGAACCTTTTGAGCTCCGCATGCCACCATTTTGAAAAACCCTAACTTAACTCTGGTGCCGTGTCACATATAGAAATTTTTTGATATTTGCAACCATAGTAAAACAAAGATTTATATTTTTGATATTTATTTTATATATTTAAATGAAATTTAACAAAGAAAAATCAACCAAAAAAATGAGTTCACATGTCACCTCTGACACGAGTGTCATAGGTTCGCTATCACTGACCTAGACCCAGCTTATTCTCTTTGTCTGTCATTTCTTCATTCGCCGCCCTTACTCAGGCTTTCGAACCCTTGGCTGAGCTGGCTCGGCACACATATATGTATGGCCCATGGCCACAGACATTGGGACAGTGAGGGCCTGGGGGGAAGGAGGGACTGGAGGGGGTCAATGGGGGAAATCAGGGGACATCTGTAATACTTTCAATGATAAAGAATTAATAAAAAATTTTTTTAAAAAAGAATAGCTATCATCAACAAAGGACAAGTGCTGGAGAGGATGCAGAGAAAAAGGAACCCTCCTTCACTGCTGGTGGGAATGCAGACTGGTGCAACCACTATGGAAGACAGTATGGCATTTCCTCAAAAAATGAAAAGTGGAACTGCCATTTGACCCAGTGATCCCACTTCTAGGAATATATCCCAAGAAAACAGAAACACCAATCAAAAAGGATATATGCACCCCTATGTTCATAGCAGCACAATTCACCATAGCTAAGATCTGGAAACAGCCTCAGTGCCCATCAGCAGATGAATGGATTAGAAAACGGTGGTACATCTACACGATGGAATACTATGCTGCTCTAAAAAGGAAGGAACTCTTACCATTGGCAACAGCATGGATGGACCTGGAGAGCATTATGCTAAGTGGAATAAGCCAGTCAATGAAAGAAAAATACATGATCTCATTCATTTATGGATAATAAAGACCATTATAAACTGATGTACAAAAATAGATACAGAGGCAGAGCAGCATCGAACAGACTGTCAAACGACGGCAGGAAGGCCAGAGAGGGTTGGGGGTGCGGTTTAAGAGACCAACCGAAGGACTTGTATGCATGCATATAAGCATAACCAATGGAAACAACACAGGGGGTGGGGTGGGGTGTCAATGGGGAAAAAAGGAGACATATGTACTACTATTTGTAATACTTCAAACAATAAAATAAGATAGACTCCCTCCAAGGGAAATGGACCAACATCTGATTGCAACAGCACTGAGAATCCTTGGCGCCTTTCCCAGGACTGTGAGAAACGCCTGAAAAAGCTCACCACCGGGTTTCTATTTCTTCTAAAAGCCCTAACTATCCATAAATGCCTTCTCCTGGGAGTTTTCTCTGTCCTTTTGCCCCGTCCGCAACATGCTTTCTCTCGTCTTCAGAGCAGCTTCCGAAAGGAGGCCGGGACACACGGGCCGGACAGGCTGCAGCGGCCATGGCCTCCGTTTCCCCGGGCGGACCCCGCCCCAGGGCTTCACAGGGAGCAGCTCACCACTCGGCTGGGCCCGCTTAGCCCCCCTCTGCTTGTCACCACCGAACGTCAGTCCCTTCTGCATGATAAGGTCGGGCCTCGAGTGACGCCTAACTGACCCAACACCACCTTTCCTTGTCCACGAGGCCTTTGTCCCCGTCGCCGCAGCCCAGGGGCGCAGGGCCCTGCCGAGCCTCTGGTGGCGGCCTCCTCCCCAGTGACCAGGCCCCTCTAAAGCCATCGTGCCCTTCGGCCTCCACAAACGGCTGGTGTGGAAACTGCAGAAATGGGCCCTGCTCCTGGTGTTCCCCAGG